TGTCTTTTAGAAGATAAGTTTTACATTGCTTCTTGATGACTATGTTTGATACTTCACTGTGTGGAGAGGAGGGCTGATGTCAGTTGAGGTATTTCTTTATATCTCCAGCAAGATGAGCATAGTCTTTAAACAGTTTATAACAGGAGGAGAGACAACAAAGGGCAACTTCCTTTAGCGCCCTGTTCTTTCTCATGAGTTGCAAATACTACCTTTGACGCTGCCAGTCAAAAGGAAGAGGTAATAGTTTCCTGGCATCAAGGGTCAGAAGGCATTTAGTTCCTCATTCTTGTGTCGGGCTTATTCCCAGATCAAGTTACCACTCTGACACATCGCTCATAAATCCTGGCTTTTTAAGAGAATTTCACCTTTTTGAGGGCTTGTCACAAGCTGCCTGTGGACTTGCCACTGGGCTGAGCGAGCTGGGGTGTCTCTTGTCCCTGCTTGGAAAACCTGTCACAATTATGCTCTAATTATATGGACAGTGTTAGGGAAGGGGTTAGTGGTGGTATGTATGTTCTTGCTTGTCTTGTCTAGCTGAGGCATTTTTAGCTTGCTTGTGCTTTTGCTTTTTTTGCTGTGTTTATTCTGAGGTGGTCTGCAGAAAGCAAAGCACCAGTTTTTAGTAGGTTTCTTTTTATTAGTATCCTTTAATGTTAGTATCTCTCAGTATTTAATATTGAGTATCAGATGCTGTTGAGGCAGGGGTGCCAGGCACTTTGGACAACCCTGTTAAGTGTAGTTCACAGTGCAAGCAGTTCATGTCCTATAATCTTCTTTGGGACATTTTGAAGACAATAAATTACATTCCTTTGGAGTGTCTTAATAATGTGCTTTCAAGTACTTGAAAGCATTTTGCTTCCCAGAACATTGCATTTGGAAACAAATGTAAGCATTTTAGGAAAAGTATAAAACTCAGCGGTAACTCAGATTCTTGCTTTTTCCATTGTTGATCAATCCTTAAAGATCATTTGGAGCTTTTACGTTAGAGCATAAGCATAGGTTTCACACCACTAAACTTGTTAAATTTGCCACCATTTTTCCTTGCATGCAAGATGACCATACACGATTTCTAGAATTTCTGCTGCTAGTGAATGCATTGTGGCAAGGATTTACTACTGGAAGATGTTTCACGTTTTTTGTCTTTTCCCTTTTAATTGAATTACTGAATTTTCCCCTGCTTTGCTCTGATTTCAAAGATGAATTGTGAGTAGTGAGGTTAATTTAGTTGTTTTTCCCCTTTCATTCTGCAGTACGTGGTATTATTGCTTTAAGCAACTGTGCAAAAAGTGGAGCACTGATTTGCTGGAACAGCATAATTTGCATTGGTAACATGGTTATTTAGCCTAGATATGCCAATTTTCCAAGAGTGACCCTTATTGGAAAAGGAAATTAGATGACTCACATCTGCAGTTCAACTGATTGTGAAGTATCTGAGTGTTTAAGGAGTGGAGCAGTTCAGAACATCTATCTCGGAGTTACAGAAGAAAATAATGTACTTAGGGCAGCTAATATCAGTCTTTCTAAATGGAAACAAAACTTCAAATTGCCTTTGTGCACAGTTAATTGGACTCTGTTTCTGAATTAATTTCTGCCTTGAAGTTACAGCAGATTGTGTAACAGATACAGTAATGCTTGAGAAAAAGCTGTTCATCGTTATGTGATGAGAAGAGGGAGGCAGAACAACAGTCTTCCTGGGAAGCCTCAGCCGGCAGAGACAGAACAACCTTGTTAGACTGGGGGCGTGCTCATTCAGGTTTTGTCATGGGCTGATCAATGTGTAGTTGTATGACTTCATTCTCCTTTTGTGAAATGGAGAAACTCTATGTCATTCTGCCTGCCTTTGATTGAAATGTAGCATCTGCAATAGTCTGCTTCATGCATAAGTTGGCAAACTCAGTAAATTCCTAACTGTGGAAGATGCAATTATCAAAATTCGCTGTCTCTCAAGTTAGATGTTTTTTAAGCATGTTTTCTCCATTGACAAGGTAAAAAATACTGTGATACTGAACTATACCCCGTTTCTTCTCCTCCTTCTCCCCTTCAGTTTACACTTTATGGCATATTTGGATGCTCCAGCATCTGTAATAGGTTGCCGATGATAAGAAAAATAAATTACAAATATTATTAATCAGAAAATAACTTTTAGAAATTTAAGCATTCTCTATTTAATGAGCAGAGGATTTCTTTTCCAGTACAGGACCATAATATTTTCTGTAATAAAGGAGTTAAACTCCATACAGAGCCCATTCTGTGAGGGCTTGTGTTCAGACACAGGCTAATCTCACGAAGGAATGTAAGCTTATTATCTAGAAACAATTGAGATTTGGGTTTGAAGCTGTTTAAAAAATTGTTCTATGCTTTTTACTAACCTGAAAAGTAAGTATAAGCTTGCACAATTTGTAATTGTAACTTGCGTTATAGAGGATTTCGTTTTGTGTTCACTGTATTCTCTGTGAAGAAGCTACTTTAAAGCTGACAAAACAGTTGTGAGTTGCCATTAATGGTTTCTCAGCTGCCTGCTTCAGGCAGTGTGCTTAATGCTTGTGCAGGTTCATTTACTCTGAAACCAAGAGGGAAGGAGAGATTGAAAAATGCTGTCCTGGCTCAAGAGGCAGATGTGCATGGTTGGGTTAGTATGCTCTTCTAACTACAGAAGGCCGTGTCACAGCAAAAAACAAGACGACCTGGCCTGAATGTGCAAAGACACAGTAAGATGAATCACTTTGATTACGTTCAGGAGTTAATTTTTCTGTGAGTGTGTACTTCATTGACTGTATGTGCTTACTAGGGAGGAACTAGAATGTTCCCTCTTCTAACTCTGGGCTTACACTGTGCCTCTACATAGTGTAACTCTGAAAACAGTACATTTTTAACATGTAAATTGACTCTGGAGAGAGCTTGTCAAAGCAACCACAGGCAGGGTAACCCTCAGAGAAGGATCCTGTAGCCCAAGAAACAAGAGAATCCTTCCTTGAAAACATGGTTAAAAGACCATGATTGTTATTTAATAGCATCTATGAAAGTTTGAGCATGTGGGTTCCAAAGCTAGCTCCATCTCTGCTGTTTCATATACTTCCGTCAAATAGCCATGGCCTGAGGTGTAGCCAGATATATTTGTGACAGATTGTGTTGTAGATGTATTATGGGAGGAGGAGAATAGATGTATTGTTATGGGAGAAAGAGAATGTCCTTAAATTGCCTGGGCTTTTAAAAATGGAGTTGTAGAGTCTTCTGTGAAATGAACAAATTAATTTAATTTCAGGAAATTAGCAATTGTGCAAATATTGGTCTTTTGACAAAGTCTATTTTTATTAAAAACATTTTATACCATTCATTTTTAATGCGATACTCCTTTCTGTGTTTACTAGCATGATCTCTGGTTCTCAATTCCAGTGAGAGGTAAACTTAAAAACTTCTATTTTTTTAGATTGTGGAAGGAACCTGTCATCAAAGTCGCTTTTGTGACTTTTTAAATGAAAGTCTTGTTAATGATGAATACCATTTAAAAGGAGAAGTAGTTGTCGGCCGGATGTGACCTCTACTGCAGAGGTCTGTTCTTATTTGTGCAGCATTAGATTTTCCTTGATGATCCTCATTGTGCTGGATGAGTAACACTTCTCCCGAAGAGAGAATGAGGCAGCGTGTCAGTTCATAGTAGTATATGATAATTAACCTAATTTAAGCTTTGCTCCTGCCTGAACACAGTGTTTCTAACTTTTATATATGTGATGACATATGAGTAATGGGGTAGAGAAAAAGGTTTGTTTCATGTAAGAGCGGGGTCATACAGTAAGCAAAGCCGGTGGGTGTAACCTAGTCTAAACTTCCTTTGCAGTTTCAGTATGTTTGGCAAGTCATACACTGGGTTGCAATTAGCCAGAAATATTTTTTTTTTTTTTTTTTAAATTTAAAACTATTTCTTTGGCCAAGTTAGTTTATAATTAGTTGCTTAAATCTGCTTTCTGGAATTAGTATGGCATCAGCAGTAGCAAATTCATAGTATTACAGTGGTTGTTGGGAAAAATTTTCTGTGGTACTTAATTATTTTTTTTTCAGTTAAACTTGTTCTATTAATTCAGTTAACCATTTCAGAAAAATCCCTCCCATTGCCTTTATGTTGATCCCAAATTTTAATCCGGGTGAGAGGTAACATCCTGTATCATTGAACTGGGATCCTAATGGTAGGAGGGGAACTGACTCACTTTGTTTGCCTTAAATATCTGTGCCTGTAATCAATCTACATCCTATTTTTGCCACTAAAGGAGCATTCTAAATTTACGTATCATCTGTAGAAGTAAATGCCTTGTATTGCGTTTAAGGACTGTTTTTATGCTGAGGATCCAATGGACTTGTCTGAAGTTGTCTTGTGACCTGCATGAAGCTGCACTGTTAATTCTTGCACTGCTGATGAAAGACTTTAGTCCCTCTGAATGCAGCTCTGACTTTTCTGGTTGTTATGTACATATTTTTAATGTACCAGTTACCTGTAGCAACTATTCTCAACTGTCTACAAAGTGTACAATAGTAGATTTCCTGGGAAACTTCCCTGGAAATTTGTATTTTTAGTATGCATTACAAAGGGATTTATGTAACTAGACATATTTAGTACAAATGAACTGTTTATAGACCTAGAAGAGATGCTTGTATACAACCTGTATATAACCTGTTGGATCCGGGTGTCGGATGTCTGGGTAAAACCAGAAACTCCAGGAAGTTCCCTCCCTGCCACTTTCTCTTACGGGCTGCTTCAGAACTTGTGCTAAACCTGTTACATGCTACTTGAAAAACTTGAGAAGTTAGTATCTTTAAAAAAAAAGTAGTAATTAGCTTTACTTCCAATAGGTCTTTGTTTATGAAATCAAAGTTTATTATTTTGGGCTTAAAGTAACCCACGTCAGCTTCCTATTTGAACAAAGAGAAAAAAGACCCATTTAGTACATATTTAGCAAACTTTTTCTCAAAAGACTCCTGCATTCTCTTTCTCTCTGACACTTTTGCAGTTGCAGGGCTTCTTGGCATACTATGGCATTATTGTTGTTCCTGTAGTATTGGTTCTCATGCCAGAGCTGGTTTGGCTGATGCGAAGGGTTGCTGGGCTGTGCTCAGCTGCTAACTCTGGGGGATGTAGCTCAAGGTTGCTTAGACTGCAGGTAAGCAGAGGTGTACCAGGGATTGTTTCAGGGGGCTCCTGCTGCAAACTTAGTTCTTTCTGCGTACCCCCAAAAAGAAGTTATGGAAACTTGTGATAAGTTTTAATGGTTTTCTGTGGTGGTTAATCTGTGTTCGTGCTAGAGCAGTTTAGCAGGTTACAATTAGTGATGACTTGAGCTGGTGCTGTACTGATGGGTTAGCCAAAATTAGATTAAACCATTTTCTGCATGTTAAGGAACTGTACATGGGCAGGACCCTAGGAGGGACACTCTCAAGTGCTAACTTGATTTAACATTTGTCTGAAAGACTAACGCAGACATCGTAGTTTCAGTCCACGCTTCACTGCATTGTGTAGCTTATAAAATGACTTAGCAGTTACTCAAACGTACCAGTCTGATGAAACTGTCAAGATTTCATCATTTTGAAACCATACTATTCAGCTGAATTTTGAGCTGCCTGTTGCCCACCACAGGAGTCACTGGGCCCTTGTTTCTTTGTCACTTCTTGATCATGTAGAGATGTCATTTTGGGGAGGTGGCCCCTGGATAAAATGGCTGGAGCAGGCCATGGCTGACACCAGCAATTAGTGTGATTGCACCTGGACTATGAGGCTTAATTCTATGCTATATTTTGATTATCCGCGTGTGCTGAAGCTCTTGTGGCCCAAACCCCAGCTGTGCTAAAATAGGCTGGTCAGTCTGTCAAGTGTTAAAGTCATGCTAATGTTTTCCTGTAAGTATAACGTCACAGGAGTTTGCTTTTTGTGTAATAGTAGATTATTTTTTTTAGTCTGTAGCAAAGTGGTTCTTATGTTTTGAATATTCATGCTAAAACATTAAACTGAGGAAGTGTGTTGTTTGTAAAGCTGTAAAAACTAATCCTTCTGAAAGACTATTGGGAAGTCATACTGCTTTTTCTTTAGGAAAGAAAAAGTGTATCTTTTATTTTCCTGCTAAGCTTTAGAGGTGGTATGTGGCATTGTATGGCTGTGACTAAAATGTTGAACCTAGGAAAGTATCTCAATCTGGGGACTTGTTTGGTCATGCCCTGTACCGGAGTCAGGGCAAGTCTGGGCATTTACCACTCTGTCACATTTCTGGGCACTGTATCCTTTTCTGGAGCAGTAAGGAATGCTATATGTATACTCAATATTTTTTTTTCCAGACTTCTAGGAATGGCCCTAAATTATCTTCTGAAGTCTTTCCAGACCACCCTGTGTTACAGCCGTAACTCAGTATTTGTAAATGTTTGTTTTTAAAAGCAGCTGTGCTTTTGAAAAGGACTGTGCCAGCATGTTTCTTGTAGCATTGAGCAAATCTTGAATAAATTAAAACTTGCGAAATAAATAGGCTGCTTAAACTAATTTTTCGGAACTAAGTGGTCTTGTTGTTTCTTTGGATTTTTTTTAAAGACAAAATTTGCAGCGTGTCCCATTGTCATGAATGCATAGATATGCAAAAACTTTCTGTACAGCAGGGCTTACAAAATGTCGCCAGCTTAAGTGATTCAAACTATTAAGGAGGGTTAAAAATACGTGGCTGGAACTGAAACTTGGATATTTTAAAAGGCCTTAAATACACTCAGAGCATTTTACATTTTTTTCCATTTGACAGTGTTTAAGATTGAGATCTCCAATACGAACAACTGCCTTGAGAATTAACTTCTACAAATAATACTATTTAGATCCTGAGTTTGATTGTCCCATTTCAATATGTCCATTGTGTCTTGTTCAGTACCAAAAGTCATAAAACAGGCACTAATCAGGTAACTCTCTATGTGAACTGATAAACTGATATGTATTTTGAATAATTAGACAACTTTAAAGATAAGGTGAGTCTGCGAGGTATGCTCATTACACATACAATTTAGTGCTTTCCAAAGGTGAGAGAATAGGGGTGGAAGTGGAGCAGGGCAAGAAAGGAGAGAGGTGGTGGTACAAAAGGGCTAGGCATTATCTTTTCATATTTACTTTGAGAAGTTGCAGTTTATTGTTGCTGCACTAAAACGGCTATTAGGTTTGATTTTTGTTTTCTGTTAAATTATTGGCAAAAGTTAGCTTTTATGTGAAGAGAGAGAAGCAGGAAATGGCAGTGAATGAGCTCAAGCTGTTTGTAACAATGTGTGCTTTATTTAGAGACTATGGTATATGTAATGTGGGAGTCTGGAAACCTGTGTTCAAACTGTGACGCCAGCAGAGCATTCTGACCTGGTGCTGTGGCCATCCTGATTTCTGCACTCTGACGTTTGTTTGCAGAATGCAGGGGTTAAGGTGTGTGGTTTTGGTTTGGTTTTTCTTTGGTTGGTGATTTGGTGGGGTTTTTTGTTTGTTTGTTTTGTGGTTTTTTTTTCTTGATTAACCATTCAGGGGAAGAATCTTTAAGCTACAATCCCTCGTGTCTGATCTTTTTCATTTATATATAATGCTAACAGTTGGTAATTAAATTATCATTTACTCTGAATATTTTTTTTCAAATATTTTCAGAGTCCTTTTAGACAGATTAATCAAGTGAAAGCAAGCCAGTGAAGCAATAGTTTTGTTTAAGAAAGGAGTACAGGCTTTCTGGAGTTAGCACACTGCAAGAGAGTCTTTATACAGTATCTGGAATATCTTGTCTCCTGAAGCTTAAACGGTTCACTGAGTAAAGTATGCTGAGCACCATTCTGGCCTTACTTGAGTAACATCTTCTATCAGTGATAGCCTTTCTGCACTTTTTTCAGCAGTTTCACTGATGGGATATTACTGAATATTCAGGAAGGAGTGCTCAGGGCAGTAATCCTTGGGTTGTAAAAGTGTTGTCCAAAAAGCAGATTCGTTACCTGGTGTGCAGTAAGCCAATTTCCACACACTCGGGGAGACGTTGCATATTTATTCCAGGTTTGCACAAAGCTGGGAGCCAGGTGGTATCCCACAAAGCTGGCTTAACTCCACAAAAAAACTACAGTGTGTTTATCCTGTTACATGATTAGCAAAAACCCACCCAAACTTACACTTATTTGTTAGTAATTACACTATCATTTGTTATTGGTTAGTTATATTTAAATTGACCTTTTCAGTCTGGAATCGACTCGGTGGTCGATATTGCCCTGTCGCCTTTACCTTTCCCCCAGTTACTGCTGATTTCTGCAACTTTGCAGCCTAATGATGTTCTGGGGTATGATGTTCCTCTTTATCAATCTTCAGTTGCATTTCAAGGATTTTAGTGGTTAGCATGTGGATTTATGGGCTCATACAACAGTACTATTGAGAGTCTCACTTTTGGGTTATCAGTTCCCCCCCCCCCCATCGCATTCTGCATTCCTTACGCACAATTATCCTTCTTGTTATCTCAGTAACTGCTCTTCTTCCTGACGGATCTTGAGTATTCTTCGTCAGTTGGCTTGATTAATTGCCTCTTCAAGGCCCAGTTGTTCCATACTCAATGAATGCTAACTGTGTGCCTTTCTGATTACAGCCTTAACGCGTCAACTTAATATATGCGAAGTACATTTTGCACAAAACAATGAGTGTTATCCTTCAACAAAAGGACAGACATTATAGTAAAGTACTGCTTGACCATTCAGATGTTCCAAAAGAGTATTACTAGTTTTGATTATCAATAGAAATTGTTAGTTATGTTTGAAGAGCTCCAGTGTTGAAAGAGGGTGTTGATGCCATGAGTTGCAAGTTCATAGCCCTTACTGTTTTGTTTTCTGTAAATGTCATGCTACCTTCTGCTGTTTCAAGACATTAGTTTGCATGAGGCCAAGCACTGGCAGGAAAATTATGCTTCTGCTGAAAAGCAGGTGATAAAAATGCCTAAGGTAATCCTGTTGTGTGTACTCTTTAGAAAACTCTGGGAAGAACTAACTCCTGTCAGTTATTTCATTCCCTGAGCTGTTTCTGAAGGGTTATAATTTTGGTCTGTAGTAATCACACAGTATTGCAGTGAGTAGAACTGAATCACAGTGTTTACACACAGAAACACAAAACTGCACTCTAAAGTGTATGCACCTGACACACCTATACTTTAAATATGTGTCTCCACTTAGCTCTTTAAAAGGTATATGCAAAATGTCACCATGCCATGGTCCTGTCGTTTTAGCAAAGATGCAGACAAATTATGAAAATGCACAGAGTGTCTCTAACAACTTGGTGAAAATAAGAATATGGTGGGGTTTTTTCCCCTGAGCTTTGCTTTTGTCGCTTTCATTATTAAAGGTAGTAAGTACACAATGAGATGTGCTTCCGTAAGCAGAAAACTTTATTAAAAATAAGCAAATGGAACCCATGCTTCAAACTGACCAATGTTTATCTGTTGGTGGCCAGCTTGGCTGCAGATGGACTTGTGCTGTTTTCTCTCTTGTCATCTCAGAACTGAATTTGGTTGTGAGAGATAAGGGCTCTCTGCCAGTTTCTTGCTGTGCTAGTTTATTTACAATGGGTGGATGTTTTGTCTGTTTTCTTCATTTCTTAGTTTTCTTTGATTTTGCCCAACCTTTGCTAAAGTTCGAAGAAGTTCATTGTCTGTAGAAGTGAAAAATTCTAGTTGTCTTTGTCAGGCCTAGTCTCTTTCCTTGACATAAGTATTTCTTTCCTTAGCATAGTTCACTAGCAAAGCAGTTTGGTTTTTTTTTCCTTCTTTACTGAGGAAAAAGCCTGAGGAAGAACCTAGAACACACTTTTCATTTGTTGTTTCTGCTAATGTTGCTTGTTAATAATTGTGTGTAATGGAAATGTTAACTTCCCTAGTGAGAGAGCTTTCTCAGGGTTGATACAGAAGTGGGAACAAGAACGAGCAAAATGCTGTTGGCACTCCACAAGTATCAGTAATTGTAGTTAACACTTGTCGTCCTGCAGTTTCTAGAGGTGTCCTTAGCCTGTCACAGGCATTTATGCTGTTTCTTGTGAACATTGCAATCAAGATGGTTAAGCCTAATGTATGAATCCATTGTGCACACTTCTCTCTCTTTCTTCTCCAGTGTATATCTGAATTAATATAATGAGTATCTAGTAAGGACCCTGTATAATTAATCTAAATTCCACAGGACACTCTTAAATCTAATCCATTTCCACATAGACAAGAGTTCAGCTTGTGATTTCAAACTAACTTGATGTATGTTTGCTGTTGGCGTCATGGACAAGAGGCAAGCTGTGTTTCAAGGTGTGTTATCATTGTGCATCTTTATCTCCACCCTCCGCGCCCCCCAGTTGCATTTGTATCTTCCTTTTTGTACCAGGCTTGAAAAAAATGGGATTTGGGAATGGGGATGAGCTGGCTGTGAATTTACTGTGCTGAAGCGAAACTAATGTTCGTGAGGATGGAGGGAGCACTTACAAGCAGCATGGTTAGCAACGCATTTGCACTTGCATTAGCAAGGTCAGCATATGAAAAGCATTCTGTAAAGCCGCAAATAAATGTGACAAAGCATGCATGCATCTTAACATTTTGCAGCTGTGTTGCAATCATCTGTTTGCTTTCCTGGCAGTGTTTCTGACGTGGCCTCTGTGACTTCAGGAGGTTGCAGCAGTTCCTGCTTCCTGTTCTTACATGTAAATGTTTGGGTGCAGGGAGCATAGGTGATCCACAGTAGTAGATTTAGTACTTGAGAGTAAATCCATATTGTTATATTTAGTACTTCACAAAATCAGTGCACAAGTTAGGTACAGTTACACTTAGATAGAATTGTTGCTCAGATTGTTGAAAGAGATTAGACCAAAGCTTTTTCTTCTAGCTGTTCCAGAAACAATAAAATTGATGGAACCTCTCTTAAGGGAAAAAAATAAATTTTAAGTTGACCCTGTTTTATTTGTCAATGCTTATGTTCGGTATCCAGCTTACTGAGGGTTAAGTTGCTCTGGAAGACTGCAGTGAGGTCTTCCAAATTTGGGCTAGGGATAGAGCACTTTGCATTTTTTTTGTCAGTGATTTAACCTTCTAGTGTTGTTGATACTGAAAAACAGTTTTCACATTTGATGGCTGGTAGCCAAGTGAAAATTACTGGAGGTTCTGGAGATGTGTCATTTTGTTTTAGAGATGTTAACAGGAAACTGAGCAGGAAAAAAACGAGAGTTCTGTAGCCAAAATCTCTACGAAGAATCAAAAACAGGATAGATATAAAACCAGCTCTCTACTTATTATTTTAGAGCTTGTTGTTCATTAAAACTGACTTCCTGCAATTGTTCCCAAAACTAATGCATGGTGCATTTTTTTTAAGAAACAAAAGTGCTGGAGACTTTGGCTTCTATGGAAGAAGGGTTTTATTGATTTCAGACAGCAGGAAACAGATCATGTCAATTAACACTTAAAAGAGAATTGTCGCTGGGCATTTAATGCTTTACAGTGTTACTTTTTCTTCCCTGTGTGGTAAACAGAACTTATAAACAGTCATCTCTGGAAGCTTTATGTCTGCCTCCATCATTAGGTACTCATCACAGAGGTTAAAGCTGGTGTAATCGTTGGACTTTCTGTCGTAGGTTTTGGCAGTTTAGGCAGTATTTCTGTCTCCCATAATATAGCATAACATACTTTTGTTACACTAAAATTGGCAGAATTTCAGATCTTCTAAACTGTGTGAAACCTGTCTTCTAAAACAACTGTTTACGAATGCCAAGGAACCTGCCAAGAGTCTGCAGTGTGGAGAGGTCTGCTCAGTACTGAGATTGTCTTGAGATTGGTCCTGGGAGGTCTTACGAATGTGTGAAGAATTTGCTGTCACCCCAAAGTCTGAGGTGCTTCTTTTCAGGCATACCTACCTGTGTGTTCAGGGCAGGCAGGTAATGCTTGGAAAATTAAGTCATCAAACTAGTGATTTTGAAACCTTATTGCTGTAACCTTTTGGAATGCATAAAGGGACGCACATTTGCCCTAAAATAACAAGAATTGCAGACACACTAAAATGAGAGGGACGGAAGACTCACATTGGGCCCTTTTCATATGCAGAGGAGCGAGTTCCTTGCTAGAAGTTGGTAAGCTTCGGCTGGTTTAGCAGACCTGACCTCATGTAGCACTGCATTTGACTGTTGTTTCTTATTCAAATGCATGGAGTAGTAAGGGTAACAGACTGGAGCAGGAGCAATGTGTTTGCTATGGAAGGTTAGGTTAAAGAGTAACAAATTTATGTGAAAGACTCTTACTACTTTTGGTGGTATCTTTCTTGCAGTTTTGGAACCTTTGTTGCGATTGGAATTACTGTTTTTGCAGTGATTGTAGTTACTATTATTCTGTGCCTCACCTGTTCCTGTTGCTGTTTGTATAAAGCATGTCGAAGACCACGACGTAAGTACCTGTACATTTTTTTTTTTTTTCCACATCTTTGAACAAAACTTTTTTTTTCTCCTCTGGAAAATTGTGTTCCTGTAAAAGGTGAAAATAATCTTGCCTTACCTGTCTGCTGCAGAAGTTGCAATACCTAAACATTAAAAATAAGCATTTAAACTGCTTCAGAATGTGATGTTTTGGAATTTTTTCTAAGTATTTAGACATTCTCTTTCCCCACCCACCCCAATGTGGATTTGGTTTGGAGGGGGCTGGGTGGGGGTTTTTTGTTTGTTTAGGTAAGCAGGGGATAGGATGAAATTTTAAATATTTCCTAGTCCCTTAAAAATACACCTGAAAAATAAACCAAAGGCCCAGGACTGCAACAGTGCAATTTTGAACAAAGTCTATAATTGTAGCATAAAGAGAAAGGAGATCTGAAAAACAAATTACTGCAGTTTATTATAAAGTGTTAATACTCCCTTATTCCAGTAAGAGATATGAACCAATGATCCAACATCAGCTTCTACAAAAATCAATGGCTTAATGTATGTTTACCTTTGACTTACTTAGAGATGTTTAGTGTGTAGACAACATACAAAAGGAAGCTGATTTGGGCAATCATGGTAGGAAGCTCCATACCTGATAAAGGAGATCTTTATCACCTTAATCCTTAAAAGCAGATTACATTTAAAAATTAGCAGTTTTTCCAGTCTCATACCAAGTGATAGACAACTTGACTGCAGGGTTGAGTTCCTGGTTTTTGAAGAGTCCAAGACAAAAATTCTTTGCTCTTTGTGGTTGAGAAGCAAGGAGGTAAGTTGGCTGCTATTCCAGTATGTGAAGGCTCTCGGTACCACTGAGATCAATGGAAGAATACTTAGAGGCATACATTTTTAAAGTCTTTCGTGGAACTTTGAAAATGAAATTACCCAGATTTGAGAAATCAATCTTAAGAGAGAATGTTTTGTATGTTACTGTTGTTGGCTGTCCCAAATGATCTCCTTAAACCACCAGCACTAACCATGTTCTTTTTGCTTGCTTGTAGCTGTTGTGACCACCACTACTTCCACTACAGTGGTTCATGCTCCCTATCCCCAACAACAGGGAGTGCCACCCAACTACCCGGTAGCCCCATATCAAGGATATCAGCCTGTGGCTATCCAGCCACAACCGGGAATGCCGGTAGCACCGTACCCTGCACAGTATCCTCCCCCTTACCCCATGCAGCCGTCGGGACCCCCAGCTTATCATGAAACGGTGGCAGGTAAGGTAGCGCTGAGTGTTTCTTCATCTCTTAAATAGCTAAATAGACAGTTGCTTTGGAGTCAATCTTGTATTGTTTACATTTATTATTTTCTGTGACTATATTAAGGTAAATGTAGACAAATTATGTAAAACTCAAGTTATGGTGCATGCTGTAATTCACCCTTGCTGAAATTTCCATCACCATTTCTATGTTAAGCATTGCAAGAGGAGATGTAGCTGGAGCTGTATTGGCAAAGTTTGGTGTTAATTGGGGCTATCAGTGGATCCAGTAGAATGTTGTACTAATTCAGTTGAAATTAAAGTGTTAAAATGAAAGTCCAATTAATATATGTGTGGTAGTTGAGTGTTTCTACATACCCTTTCTAATCTAATATTTGCTAGATCTTTCAATCTGTACACAGATGGCATTTTCTAGTAGTTCATCACCAGGTTTATAGAATACAGAATCTCTGATCAACATCAGACAAGTTTGACAATGACTAGCAGAATTATTGGAATATTTTTTTCTTCTGCTTTCCTTCTTTCACAGCATTGTTTTCATGCAGCTTTATTGTTGCTATTACTAATTCCCACTTCCACTAGTAATAGCTGTTCTCCGAACAACTGGGTCCTGGCTGTTCAGAGAGGCCAAAACTAGGCTGTTACCTGTCCTGGGATCTTAAAGCCCTCTTACAAACCACACTGTTCATCCAAGTAACAAGCAAATTATAGTCCTGAATAGTGGATAATGCCCTTAGAAAGTAGCTCTTTCATGACAACTCAAATGGCTGTTCATGCTCTTAAGCATTTGTAAACCAGTTAGAAATTGCACGTTGACAATGTACAAACCAGCTCTGCATGTAAAAATGCTGACTTGGTAGGCCTGTTGACTTCATTTTTCTCTTGTAAACTCTGAAGAAGCTGTGGGTTTTGTGGGATTATCCCAAAGTGCTTTGGCCTCATCTTTATCATGTGAAGGAGCCAATAAACTAGTCATTTTGCTTCTACTCGCTAGTTTCTCAAACTCTTGCTGGTTTATTTGTTCTTAAATATTTTTTTTTTCTGGGAAAATCTCGAAATGCTTTCCAAATTGCCAGCTGAGAATGTCTTGAAGTGAGAGCTCTTTTCTTCATTTCTCTTGTCTGTTAACCAAGGGGCAGTCTCTTAATTAGGTCATATGCAAGGGAGAGAATACCTGCTCTGTCACACAGGAGCCAAACCCACTCACTTTACAAGATCAGCAAAAGATAACCACACTTAGACTTGCCAGGGATCTGATCAGGTGCTGCATTATATGAACTAACTTGTGCTATTTGACACACCTGAAAATGAAGATGCCTGTTGAGAGCAGCTTGTCTCAGAATACTAGAAAATAAGGGTATCTTCTGAGTGATATACATCTAGTATATAAGTCAAACTCTTTAATGTGCTTGGAAGCAGTGGGATACTTTTTTCCCTTTTATTTTAATTTTTTAATTAACTCTGTGACACTTACCAGGAAAGCATTTTCCCTGAAGGAATCCAAAGATGCTTTCTCTAGTCCTTTTTCTTTTGCCCGGTGTTTTATTTTCACTTCTTGGTGTACTATCAGGTATATCCTGTTGTTTGTGCATCTCTGACTTCCACTGGCTGGGTTTTTTCAACCAGATCTGTTCCTTTTTTTTAAACTGTGTTCTCCCCTGAAGGCTAACCATGTGCTTGTGGCTCCCGTAATACACATGTACACTTAAGCATCAAAAAAAAAAAACCCAAACCCACAAAACAACCCACAAGAACAAAGTTTTTTTGTGACTTACTTTTGAAATGCGTATGTTTTATGAGTTAGCACAAACTCTTCTCAAGTCCAATTAAGATTGAAGATAAGTTGAACCTCTAAACTATGTATTCAAAAGAGAAGTTGCCATTATAGATGTAGAATTAGAATGTAAATTTTACAAATCTGTTTTTCCTTGTGTTTTGCTTTTCAGCTGGTGCTGGAGCACCTTACCCAATCAGCCAGCCCCCTTACAACCCTGCTTATGTGGATCCTCAGAAGCCCACCTATTGAAAAGATCTTCTACTATGTTTCTGCATACAAAACTTTTTAAAGTATAACTTGTGCTGTTTACACCTTGCAACTGTGGTATATTTTTCTGGAAGACAGCAATCTCTTGTCTAAGTAAATTGAAAGTTAATTCAGTATCTTTTTTTTTTTTAAATGCTTTGAGTACAAGGAAAGAGTACTTTTCTTGCAGAAACTGTTAATTTATACCTCAAGCAGATACAAAAAGATAGTTTGTTCTATATACGATGAGAAAAGCATTGAAGGAGTACTTCAGAAATAAGAACCACAATAACATTTGCTGTGCAATAATTTTGAAAGGAATGGTCTAATAGGAGCATTATCAAAGACCCAAAGCTGCAGCAATCTTTTGCACAGTATTAAAACATAAAAACTTAATCTCTAAGAAACTACCTGATGTATGTTACGTATGTTCTGCCTGTTTGGAAGCTATTATTGTTAGGTAAGCTACAACATAATGCATTTCATTTACCATTCAAAAGGGAATTTTCCTTTTTTGAAACACATTTGTCTTCAATAAGGGGTAGCAAACCATGTTTGATTGTCTTTGGACTAGTTGCATTTTTCTGTGCTAAATAGCATGACTTGATAATTTCTTTGTTTTCTTTCCCAATTTTAAGGCTTAAAAACTGTGCCTCCATTGGGTGTTTTCTCAGGCCATTTTAATTTATAGCTAGAAATTAACAACAAAACCAAACTGCCTACCACTTAGTAGAACAAGTAGATTAAAAGCCGAAAACCTGAGAATTCTTCATAAAAATTATTGGACAAGCTTACTTAAGTCATATGTTGTTGATGAGTTTGGGAGAAAAATTAGCACCTTAATCATATGTTAAGCAGAAGTACCTGCCAGTGTTCAGTCCTGCCTCATCATAGGGAAGGAATTTATTTTACAGGAGAGATGGGATGTCAGAAATAGATTGGGGTTTTTAAATGCTTAGGGTTTGTCACTGTCTGTCTCTAGTGAGAACGGTAGACAGCAAGAACCTAAGAATGATAGATCTTTATAAACTCATTCTTCATTTGAGTAAAAATACACAGGGGGGATAAGAAGTCTGAGCCCAACATACAGTAGAGATTAAACCTCCCTTTTGTCTTCAACATTCCCATAAAGCTGAGCAGAGAATGAGAAGCCAGGGAAAGGAAGAGTGGTAGAATTACCTTGCTGTGAGCAAATATACTTTCAAAAAGGTAGTACTTGCAGTCATGAAACATCTTGAGACATCCTCATGACTATTATCAGTGTTTGCAAGGCTTTTGGCTCTATACATCTTGTGTTGATCAAATGAATCATGATTTTTTTTTTTTTAGCATCCTCTACAATTCTGTCTTTCCTAACATTGAAATACAATTTGTTATTCCTCAGTAGAGCTACCTAGTCTGTTGTATGTATCCCTGTGACATAATTAGTGAGATAATTTTGACATATCTCATACACTGATTTTAATTTTTTAGAGAGGCCATTAAGCCATTTGTCCTGCAATTCTACATTTGGGGTATATTACTGTTTGAAAAACATTGATGGTGGCATTGTTTTACCTCATATGATGGGTGGAAACTGCTGCTGTCAAAGGCAGCCTTATGTCTCTTCCTGATTTTTGAGTTATTCCATTTCTTTTTTCAAGAAAATCTTCAAGGCATTTCAGAAGAAACTTGTAGAAATTTATTAGCATTGGGATTCATGACAACCTGTGCCCCTCTGTTACACCTTTCTAAGAGTGTTGAAGTTAATAGCATGAAGTAGGGCCAAGAGGCACTCACAGAGCATGCATGTGGTGTATCTGTGTGTTGCTCCTCTTTCTGCCTTGTAAGCAGAAAAGTTGGGCAATGCTTCATTACACTGTTAGGAGTTATGTGAGAACAACTGGAAATGGACAGTGTCTCCTGTATGGAGGATGAAGTGTTTCCCTAGAAATCTGGAATTTTTATGTGTGGGAGGGTATTGAATAACTGCAGAAATAATTCCTTTAGTCTAGATCCTACCCCTGTGTGTTTACTCATGTAGAAGGAGGGCGGAGATTATTCCAGCACCTTTGTTCGCCAGCTGCCTGGATGGAGGCTGGCCAGTGAGATGCAGCCAGCCAGCACAACTGCTGTGCAGCTCTCGGAGCACAGGTACAGTGTTCTAATGTTGGGCTTCATGAGGTTATAACTCTGC